CGCCCAGGGTTGCTGTGGGACAGACAGTCTCGCTGGAGCACAGGGCTCACCCTGGGACTCATCTTCAAGATGATGTAGAGCCAAATGTTTTGTGGGACAGACTCATGACGAGTTTCTTGGTATGGGACTGAATTGGACTACCATGATCTATCACCGCTTTCAAGGCCAGGCTGTGCTATCTGACCACAGTCATACTAGGGCAGGGTGGAAACTGAAAGCCATGATGATGACCCAGCTGAGGGGAAAGGAGGAATCAGCTCGATGTGTTGTGATTTCCGCTCAGCCCTGTTGATTCCTGCAGTTACTGAAGTGGCACTGTTTGTTGATGTAACAGGGACTGACTCAGTGGGAACAAACCCCGAGGGAAAGGTCCTTCTGAAATATTTGTCCCTATTATTTACTCTATGGCTTAATCAGACATCTCTACAGAAAAATCAGCAATAACCTCACCTTGTAATTTACTGAAAATGAGGTCACTGGCACTGATTCACTTACAAGGGGCTTTGTAAGAAACAAAATGCTACAACAGAAGAAAATGAGCCCTCATCTTCCACATCCCGGGACTGCCACCACCTAAAGCACACATTTTGAACGCCTGAGTCTGAAAACACGTTTGTTTTCTTGTCCTGGGACACACCTTCCCCAGTTGTGTATGGCAAACAGGGAGATATGAGAACACGCATTTTTGATACAGCCGCATGAAAAGCCAGGTGGTGATGAATTGCATATCCATGCCACACATCATCAAGATGTTCTATCAAACACAAAGCCCTTACAAGGAAACGACAAAATTTGGCTTAATTCTTCCACTCTGGTGCAAAGCTTCATTTGAACTTTAAGCTTATCTTTGCAATGTTGAGCATGAACATCTGCAATTTCTATGGGATCTAGAGGAAACCTCACAAGAGCAATTTAGCAGACAGCCATTTAGCATAACCACATTTCTAAACTACAAAGCGACCATATTAAATCAGGTTCCTTTCAACACACACACAGAGAAGAAGAACAGGAAAGGCAGAGGCCCAACAGCTCTAGTTTGAGACTCGTGTTTCATGCAAGTGACGTTTTTCCAAAACATAAGCAGTAGGTAAAAAGCCTACCCCTAGATTGATTCAACTCTACCATTACTTTAAAATAGCAGTGCAAAACAACCCACCCTTAAATCAGTCATGAGCAAGTAGAAGGTCACTGGCTTGCTTGGAAAGTCCTTGTCTCCCCAGTCCCAGTCCCTCAATGCCACTCAGCCAGTTACCAAATGCAGGCTTGTAGAGCCCTGGGTCTGGCAATAAAGAATGTTCTCAAGGAAAGTGGTTGGGCTGGCAGCTGAGATATCAGCAGATAAATGCACAGAAAAGAAAGCTACAGCTTCCCAGAGGAGCAGCTCTTTAATGCCTTTTCCACCTGCCAAGTTTCCCCTATTGTGCAGTTTCCTTGTGGTTTGTCTTAGATTTTTTGAAAAGATACTGGGAATTTACATTCTGAGGAATTGTCATCCCCGAGAAGAGTAACACACGAGCATGAAAGCCTTTGAATCAGGTTTTTCAGATTCACTCAAGTACTTCTCTCCACAGTTCATTACACACAGCGAGTAGCTTCACAAGTTTAGGCACCTACACAGTGCCCTCATGCTGCTACAATGGCACTGTGTAGATTCCTAAACTCATCGAGTGTCCACTGATCCTCTCTGGGCTGTAGGACACAAACCATGCTGCGAGGACCTATAGGAACCCAAACCTCCACCCCTGCCCCTAAGTGAAGAGGAGGGCACATGGACAGGACAGTGAGCCAGCCACAGCTGCTGCAGCCCATGTGGAATGAGGCAATCCTGATTTGCCAGGTGCTTGCTGATCCCTGCCATCTCCCTCTGCCCCATTTTGCTCTGGCAGAGCAGCCCACGTGCAGGATTCCTTCGCAGCTGAGACAGCTGCTACAGCTGGCACAGAGACCCTGGACCTAAGGGGTGGGGATGTGCAGGGCCACTCATTCAACAAAACCCAGAGGCGGATTTTTGATCTGTGTTTCTGGGTGGTGCCCCACAAGAAACAGGGAAGGTGTTGCAAAGTTATTTTAATCTGGTAAACCTTGTCCCTAACCTGATCTCATTAATCAATTCCTCTCAGAGAGAGGCAGTAATTTCAATGGTATGCTGCCCAACTCCCTCCTCCTCCACTCCTCGAGTGATCCAAAGGTGCTTTACATACCACAGCACCTGTGCCCAGATCAACAAGCAGAGCATCTGCCTTCTGGTCTCCACTCTCCTCCTCCACCACTAAATCTGGTATTTCACACCCTATACCCTCACACTTGTAGGTCCAAGAAGCAAACTCTTCAGTTTTAGCCTGATTCATCTTTCTGCATCATTTCTCCCCAGACTTGCCCATTAAAGCTGAGGCCCCTTGTGCAACAGGACAGAGCTACATCACCAGCAACAGCCCCACCATTTCAGAGGCTATGGCAGCCGTTCCTCCCAGCAAGTTACTCGTGCTTTCCTAGGAAATGTGGCAAGCACTAATCCCTTTGTTTTCCTATTACTTCTGAAGAAAAGATTGCACTCAGCATGTCACCCCCAGATCTCCCTGATGACGTGGGACTTTCATTTCTTCACCCCCATGGGACGCAGATCCATGGACTCTGTCATGCCGGAGCGGAGCGGAGGGGTGGGCAGGGAGAACACAGCCCTTCCCAGCGAGCAGTGGCATCAGCTTGTGAAACATGCCAGGGTGTTTCTGATGGGCTGCCCTGCACAGCACACACTGAGTGCTCGGGAATTGAGCGGTGACTGAGATGAGGCAAATTCTCCTTGTCACTGCCAGCACTTGTGGGGGTGGCCATGGCATGCCAAACAAGCAGCGCCAGGTACCAGGACAGCACAAGCAACAAAGGGCCTGTGTGCTCCAGCACATGTGGTGAGGATGAGGGAAAAGGGTGGGATGTGAGGAAGAGGAAGAGGGAAGGCAGAATAGCCCTTGCCTGCTGGGCTGCAGAGCTGAGCACTGCTCTGCTTCTTCCCTACCACTTAACCCCAAAAATCCCTGTACTGCCAAAACAGCTTCTTACATCAGTTCATTAGCTCTCAGCTGTCCTTGAGAGCAAAAAATCTCTCTGCAGCTCAAGCCAGTAAAATCTAAGTTGTGGGGTGATGGGGCTGTGGGACACTGTTCTGAGGATGCAAGTGGGTTAGGCAAAAAGAACCTCAAATCTAAAGTCTAATAGTATTTCATAAAGACACCACAGCTTGCATTCAGAGACTGCTCAAATATTCCGTTGTGATGGAAGGCCTTTCAGCATATGTCAAATCAAGTAAATTACTTTCCTATTTAATCATTAAAACATTCTCTGCACTTGCCTATAGCCAGTGGCCCATGATTTGCCTGATACAAAACACTGCCCTGCCACAGGAATAAGCACCCTCAAGTCCCTCATTTCCAGCGACTGAAGGCACTTGACACCCCTGAAACCAGACCTCTGTCCTCCCCCATCACTCTGCTATGCACCCACTTCATCCATGACTGTTCCTGTCTCTCTGCCACAGAAAATCAGCCCTGCCTCAAACTTTCCAAGCACCTGTCACTCCTCCCTGTCTGTCCCCACAATCCTACCTGTGACAGGAATTCCCACAACAGTCCATCATCGTTGGCTTGCCGCGGGCACCCCTGCATCGCAATCCTGCGGGAAAGGCTCTTCTGTGCACACGCTGGCAGCCCGAGACTCAGAGAGCTCCGGAGAGGCAGTGCCCAAAACACTAAGTGCTCTCCTGCCTCATGTTTCACTCCTCAGGCTCTGACGACAGGTCTCTGCTGTGCCCAGGAGCCTTTATAATTCGCACGTGGTGATTCCTTAAGCTAGAGGCAGTTTTCCCAGAGGTTTCCCGGATCTCCTGTGCAAGGCTATTGCCATAAATCAATTAGATTGCTTAGTCACCTCTGTTTGTCCAGTCAGTGCCAAGGCAGACCTGCTATTTCACAGCATGTACTGTACTGTAAGGAGCCAGTTCCTGTAAATTAGATGCACCACTGCAAACTGAATCGCATATTGTTTTCTACATTGACTTGTTTTCTGTTGGCCTGGAAGAAACATACTTTACAGCCATAAATAAGACAGAGAACAAAAAAGAGTTAGAGAGCCATGTTAAAGGCTGCCTGACAGAGGGCCATGTGTGCCTGGGAGACTGCGGTGTTACTGCAAGGGCTGAGGAGTGAGGAAACAGGAGGTCTGAAAAGTGCTCAGTGCTCCAGCAGGCACTGGATATGCTCACTGAAGCCAGAGTTTTTCCCTGAGGGCCACTGAAGTGTGGAGGGCCAAGACCCTTCATGCTGTGTTTATAAGCATGAAGCACTGTCTGAACCAAAAGCTGCACTTCAGCCTTGCCAGCCTCAAAATGGGATACAAACTAGAGGTATCCAAGTAAGTGGGTGCTTAAGGTAAGGCTGACCTCTCTGCCAAGCCTTTCTCATTTCTAAAATGGAGCACTCAAGGATGCCTGTGACATGATTACTCCCACATAGATGTGAACCCTGGAAGCAAGACAGCATTTGCTGTCCCCAGCCAGGGGGCTGCACCCCATAGCTCCCAACAAAGAGGTCCCATGCCTGCCCCTGGCACAGCCACAAATGTGCTCACAAAATCCTGTGAGGAGACCCTGGTGGGTGTCATTTCAACAAAAGTACACAGAGGTCCAAATCAACTGGCAGAAGTTGCTGGAAAGCTCTATTTTCATTGTCACTCGCTCTGGTCCTCCACAGGGGCTCCCAGAAAGGAGGGGAGCTTCTCCATTGCTTGCAGTCACCCTGGGGAAAATCTGGAAAGCCTGTGGCAGAGGAGGAGAAATAATCAGGAAAGCCTGTGTACTAATGCTGAGATAATGTTTAAAGTAAACAGGAATCGGGGCCTATTTGTGGTACATCCTGTGGTACAATAAAAGAGATGAAAAGATGATGTCTATTACCACCAAGACCTTATAGTATAATGTGCAACTTCTAATAAAACTTTCTGCATTTCAGAAGCAGATTGTCTAAATACTGAGAGAGGCAAATCACCGATGATGACTGCAGGCAAAAGTGACTGACAAAAGCAGCCAAATTGCTTCCACCAACGGAGTTTCATAAGAAGGTTGTAGAGCCCTCAGAAGCCTGCCCAGAAAGTCAATGCTGCCAGTCTCTCTCTGGATTTGGTGCCTGGATTTAATGACATTGGCTTGCCAGGAAAAGAAGGCAATGAGAGTAATTAAGGAAAAACAGAGAAGGGAAAAGCACAACAAGAATTAGTACAATGCTCAGGAAAAAAATCCAAATCCAGGGAGGAAATGCTAGGTCCCTGGTAGTAGCAACCACACTCAGCAGCCAAGACCCAACATATCCGTCCCTGAGGCAATTTCTTTTCTTTTTTTTGCATCATGATGGAATAGGGGCACTGGGAGGCTGGAATGCCCATCCCTTCTGGTGACAGTGCAGCAGGTGAAGCTGGGCCAGATCAGATTCACACTGTGGCTCTTCTTAGCAGAGCTCCAGTTCCACCACAGCTGCTGCCTGGCTGCTCCCGTCCCCAGATCCCAAAGCAAGGTTATGTCCCAGCTGTGTCCCTTGCTCCCCCAGCAGGGCCCAAAGGTCACAGCCAGGCTGTCACAACAACTACTGAAGCTGCCACAGGAACAGGGACCACAGCACAGGGAGAAGGCTACAGAAGCTCAGTCATATCCTCCAAAGGATGAAGCTGTTCCCACCCCAGGCTGCCTTCAATGCACAGCACATTTATAGGCACCTGGCTTCTCCTACCCAGATGTTTGATGAAAACTTGATGAAAACGTCATCAGGCTGTAATGCCAGCTTTGGGAACAAAGTGTCCAGAAAACCTTGGCAGAGACTTCTAGCTGATAACAGAGAAACCAGAGGGCAGATGCTCACAGTGCAGGATGTCCCTTGCTAAGGGAGGTAGTGCAGGTCCAGCCTAGCAGCCTGAACTTCCCCAGACAGATGCCTGCAACAGAGCATCCCTGTGGCCCCAGCATGCCATCCTTCCCCAGGCTGTGGTGAGACATGAAGCAGAAGTGGGCGCTGGTCTGAAATGAAGTGACAGTGCAGGACACACTGCCTCGCTCCGGGGTCTGTAACAAATGCCACTCACGCCTCTGCTCATCACCACCCCTCTTAATGAGCAGGCTCTTTGTGACAGGTTTTATTGTGAGAGTCACAGAGCTGCCTTGGGTTTAAAGATTCACCAGTTCTTTCTCATTCCCCATGCCACATAAACAGCATGTTTCTATTCTGACTTGAACTATTACAGCAACTAGAGATGTTTGTGATTTCTCTGAAACTAAAATAAAAGCAACCTTTATATTGGACAAAATTATGAAGGACTTCTTTTTAACAGTCCTTTTTATTGAAAAAACTCCACTTAAATTTCAATGAGAGCATTGCTTGCCAGTAAGAATGGAGGCAGAATTGAAAAAAGTTTTGGAGTTGAGTCCAACTCCTGTATTTACAGGGTATAAGTACAACCGAGGCACTTGTCATAGCATGGGTGGAAGCACTCATATCCCAGAGCAAGAGCCGAGAGGGGAGGATGTCACTTCTGGTTGCTCAGATCCAAGACCTCCTGTCCCCATCCACACCCTGCACCACAGCACTAAGGACATGTAAACCCCTCCTCAAATCCTGTTCTTCATCCCACACAAAAAACTCACATCTTTAGCTCTGAAGGTCCAAGCCCTGGCAGTAGCAGTGGCCACTGCATGTGCAGATGTGCTGCCTGTGTGTGCATGTGTGCTGTGGCATATGTGTCAGCAAGTTATTCCTGCCATCCCTGTGGCTGAAGCACACTAAGCAGGCATGTGGCAAAAGCAACACCATGCTAAGAAACCCCGTAACAGAACGTGAGGTCTCTGGGTTCTGGGTGTGTATCCCTGGGTGTGCACACGTGTTCCTGCTCCTGCTCAAGCCACTTGCAGTTAACCTCCCAAGGTCTCTTCCACCTGCATGTTACTGCACCTCAGGACAGCTGAAAGGGGTTGCAAGAGAAGTTCCTGAAGAGGAAACGCGTAGGCCCTTGTTTGAGGGTAGAAAAAAGAGATGTTTTTATAAGTGCTAACCTGCTCACCTTGGCAACCCGCCACTAGAAGAAGGAAACATACTGCTTCTCTCTTCTTTTATGATAGGTTAAGGACTCCCCTCAGCATGAGGCCGTGTACATCTCTGCGGTCATGCACCCCTGTAGCATCTGCTTTTATGTCTGACCTCACCTGTCTGCCCCTTCAGCAGGTACTCTGGGAGGTGGGCCTCAAAAGAAGACCAAGCACTAACCAAATTATGGATTATTAACATTCACAGAGCTAATCATTGAAAGGAGTTGTACAGACCCCTGACTGTAAGGGATGAAACTCCCACAGGATTAGCTATGCTGCTTCTTTGCAGAGCAGAGCCTGGGGGTGCCTAACCCAGCAGCAAACAGTCAGGCATCGGAGACAATCTCTATTGTCCTGTGCTGGCTGTGTGCAGGCAGTGGAGCCTAGCTGGGAGCTGGCAGAGCTCCCAGCCTGATGGGATGGTAAAAAGAGCCATTCCTACCACTTGGAGGAAAAAAACCCAGCACAGGAGGAGCGGGGAATTTCTCTGGAAATTCTGCCACAGACCAAAACTCCAGGACTCTCAGTTGGCAGAGTCAGGGGTCCCACCTGTAAGAACATGTTTTGCTGGACCAAGGAGGAAAAAAAACAACCACTTGCCTGAACAGAGGAGAGGCAGAGGAGAGCCCAAGAACAGGAAGAGCATCCCTTCCCATGGGGCCATGTAGCCTAATGGCACACAACACACAGCAGCATCCAACAGGGAGTGCCTGGACTACCCAAATCCATAAAACACGCTAAGGAACAACAGTGAACACACAGGTGGTGCAGTCCCAGTAAAGCCTTCCCCTGGTAAATAATGATGCATGTTGGTCCCCAAGATTCCTTGGGACTGCAAGCTGGCTGTTCTCTCCAGCCCATCAGCTCCCTGTTGTGGTGCTGGTGCATCAGTTTCTCCCTTCAAAGTGTCTCATGCACCAACACGTGCCAACCACCCAGCTGTACCTGTAAATCCTGCTTTTTCCAAGCCCACCACATGAACCACACAGGCTGTGGATGGGAAGCCGGGGAACAGGTACAACACTTCAGCTGCACAGCTCCTGTGTGAAGGAATATGATGGACCAGCTACTGCCTGAAAGCCCTGATGATGTTCCTCAGACCTATCCCAAACAACATCCTTCTCTCAGTCCTGAGACCTTCCTGGCAGCCAGGTCCAGCTGAATTTCATAAAGACTCCACAGCAGTCCCTGGGTCTGCTGGTGATGCTCCAGCACAGTTTCCCCCCTGACACAGAGCAGGATTGAAGTCCCTGTGCTGAAAGGGCAACATGCAGCCATACACAAACCACCTGTGCACCAGAGCTGCTCACTCTCTAAGCAATGCTCATGTAGTCTGCAGAAACCTGGGCAAGCCCTATGATCCTGAACACTTCACTCCTTGCTTAAACAAATAGAATCTAAAACCACGTACTGAAGAAAGGGTACCTTCTTCCCCTCCCTAGACAAAAAATTCAGCTGCGTACCTTAAACCAAGTATCCTATTGCCTTGTTTTTCCACATTTCTCTTCATTTTCTGTTACAATAAAGCATCTCAAGCAGCACTACCCCTCAGACTAAAACTGCAGGAAAAGGGTGGGGCTTAGTAACAGAGCTCAAACTGAGTAACCTTTCTACTTGTGTAACCTTTTGAGGTGGCGGCCAGATCCTCAGCTGGTGTAAATGTGAGAGCTGGGCTGAAGCTAAAACAGCTTGGAGACTTTGCAGCAGGAGATGCTGCCTACCAAGTCCATCAGCGCAAGATGCTCAGGGACACCTTCCAAGGAACAGCCACTTGGGATCACTGCAAGCTTTGCATGGTGTATGCTGGCAGTTTGCACCAACTCTGGGGGGAAAAACGCACCCTTTTGGGTCCTGCTCCTGCGGTGCCCAAGACTGACACTGGGCTAGTGCAATTCCGTGTGATGGACCTGGGGCTCATAATTTGTGATGTGAGGTCTAAGGAGCTACAAAACCTAAGGCTTTCACTCAGGTGCTGCATTTAATAGGAAACTGGGAAAATGCTGTTACTTGGAGTTCCAGCTATGAGGGCAGCAGAGCCTGCACAGCCCAGATCACAGCAAGTATATTCCGGGTGTTTGCTCTCAGCTGTGCCGCTGTTTCACAGGAAGAGGAACCCACATGAGGAGCTGCCCTCTCATTTGGAGCACACCTCAGAAAGCTGTGGGCCTTTGCCATGGGCCAGGGAGTGCCTCTGCAGCCCCCTCTCCATTGCAGACAGCCCCAGCCCATTGGCCATGGAGGCTGCACTGCAAAAATCCATCCTGTTCCTTCCAATGCCCAGCTTATGGTCACTGCTGGAATCCCACATGTGGCTGCCTATCCCAGCCTACAAAGCTGCAAACAGGTGCAGGCGTGGCAGGGCTGCAGGTGGCCCTGTCTCCCCTTGGCACAGGCGGGCTCAGAGTTCCACAGCAGGGAGTTGACTAGAGTGGCTCTGCATGGAGCCGACTAATTTCTTCTCCAAGTCTGTGTGAATATCCTCACAATTTCATCTCACAAAGTGCATGGCAATTTACCAGACAGGGTAGAGTAGAAAGGAATGAATGAAAGAGGTTTCGCAATGATCTTAAAAATTTCACTTGAAACCCATTTGTTTTCAGGCTACATAATTCCATATATAAACTTTGTCAATCTCCTTACTCAGTTTTCTTCAACAAGGCTTTTTTACTTTCAGCCTGAGGGGCGACAGAAGAAGGCAAGAAGTAATGTTTCACACTGGCTTCTAAACAAAATAATCTGGAAACTATTGCAGTAATGTGAAACTGGCTTATTTGGTTTCTAATGATCCCCTCTGAACAGGTTTAAAGAATTATTGGAGTGATTATTGGGGTGAGAGAACATGTTTCAATAGCTAACATGAATGTGGAAATAGAAATGTGCTGCTCCTCTGGGCATTGCAAGCAAGTTATCTCAAGGCACACACCTACCCTTAGAAACCTTTTTGTTCTGAGACCCCAGGCCACAGAAGAAAATGAAAGCAGAGAAAAAGGGGAGGGAGATTTTACAAAATTAATAGCACAAAAATAAGACTTTGTAACCCACCTGCTGCCTAAGAATGAACTCTGCACCTTGCTAGTATTGTTTCTAACAAATACGTGTCTTTTCTTGACTTGTAAGATTAAGAGCCTCCCTGGAAAACCACTCAGGGGGCATAAATGTTGAGAATATGTGACTTGGGGATCCAAGCTGCTCTAAGTGCTTTTGCAGGCAGAGGAAATGCGCAGCACAAGAATGAGCAGCCTCCAGTAAAGGACTAAGTGAAAGAAGAGTTCAATTACAACTAATCAGACCCAAGAGCTAAAAGCATTTGCCCAACATCACCGTCATTAGATTAAAACTCTGTTCTCTCCTACAGTGAAGACTGTTAAATTAGCTCAGGTCATACCAGAGACTCACGGCTTCCATGACCATGCTGCTACTTCTTGGTGCAGAGAGAGACATTCCCAGCTTTTCCTACAAATAACCTTGAGCTACTCAGTCAAATTGTGCCATCCTCTTGTTGCCCATCCTTTGGGGACATTTTCTGCCAAGGATGTGCCTGTGCATGTTAATTGCACAGAGAGTTTTAAAGATGAGGCAGGGGACCTGCAGACCTAATTTTGGAGATAAGGACATTGCAGGGACTGGAACAAGGAAGAAGAACAGGGCTGCAGGGAACTGGCTGGGGCAGCCAGAGGACGTCTCCAATACAGACAGGCTCCAGATCAATCCCTGAGGGATCCCATTAAATAACTGCATCTGCCTGGGCTTCTCTTGGCACATCTCATGAGTGTCCCCACAGAGATGTGGATATTCTTTTCCAACCGGTCCTCTCACCAGAGGAAAGAAATTGTCTGTTCTTCAGAACAGTTGGCAAGGTGTCATGGGGCAAATTGGCACCACTGGGGACTGGGGCATCTCTTCCCTGTCACACTGGTGCCTCCCGGTGTGAGTTAAAGCAAAGTAACCCCCATACCTATGGCAGAGGCGGCCAGGAAAGCTGAGATAAAACCAGGCAGCCCCTTCCAAAGCAAAGTGGAGAGTGATGGGGTCAGCAGCAGCACTCCCTGAAAATGCAACACATCCCCCTGCTCTCCCTTGAGGCTCTTAGGAATGATTTATAACAAAAACTGCAGACACCTGAGGAACTACAGCCTGCTCCAGCATCACAGCTCAATTTTTCAGTGTTTGAGGTGCAAAAGACTTTTGCAAAGAAGATGTGAGACATGAACATCGCAGCCAGGTTTGTACTGGTGTCCACAAGTGCAGTTCATGTGCACAAGCCCTGAAACTGGGCACACACCTCCTGCGTGCACATATGCATGGAGGAGACATGAACAAACCCAGCTAGATACCACGAGATTATTTGTATTCATTTACTGTAACATTTTGTCCTCTGGACTGAAATTCATCTCACCTATTTTTAGACATGTTCAATGTAGAGGACTACATCTATCCTAGTTAACTCCTTTTACAGTCACAGGGCTGCTCAGCCTCAGTTCCTCTCATGCTGTGCAGGCAAGTCACATACAGTGTGTTCTGCAGGGGCCTGTTTCTCCCCACAAACGGAGACTGGCTCAGATCTAGCTATTTGCCACAAATTCCACCCCAGCCATCCATCATTAAGTACTTTTAAAGTCTTGTTATCCAAGATCTCCTCTCTCCCCCACCGCCTTTCCATGTCAGCCTTGCATGAATCTTTCTTCCACTACTTTTTCACTATGCAACTTTTCACATTATTTTTCCCCCGACTTTGCTCCTTTTCCATCTCCTGATCAGATTTTGCACTCAGTTTCTCCCAAACTTCCCATTCTGCCTCCACCCCATAGCACCCACCTCTCCTACGACTCTTCAGCCACCACCCAGAACCCAACACAGTTGGACACAACTCCAAGTAAAAGCGGCTCCATCAACCTCTGCCCTCATCCTCATGGGACACCGCTCCACCACAGCTCTGCCACCCCTGCACCCCTCCTTGGAGCACTCATGCACTTCCCCTCGCCCCCACGCCCACCACCAGT